ATCACCTGATCATTAACTTAGGTTACAGCTGCCACTTGTAAATGCTAATTTAGAGATTTCTGCGGCAGGAAAACGCAAGTTCCTGACGCAGAAATCCCTAATTGCACCTAAAATAAAGGTGTGAATGTAGCCTAATACACTTCTACTCCCCGTCCCCACCCCCCAACACACGTAAAAAAAATACAAACCCTGTACATATCAAAGAATGCTATTAATACATATAATATTACTATTAATACATATCAAATAATAATAGTATTTGAGGTTGAATAAAGACATAGGTCCATCGAGTTCAAACTTTATTTGTAAGTGTGTATGTGTGTAGTGTGTGCATGTGTGGATAAATGAATCCCTTGGGGTTTAAGGTTTTAAGAGTACCTGTATCCCTGTATGTTACAGTCTCTGGGGAAGGTATCTAATTGATTTTTGAATGATTCAATGCTCTCTGCTGATACCACTGCTAGTGGCAGAGAGTTCCAGACTTTAACGGCTCTGACTGAGAAGAAGCCCCTACGCCCCTTGTGGTTACATCTTTTCTCTACCAATTTTAGGTGGTGGCCTCTAGTCCTTGTTAGGGAGTTTACAGTGAAAAGTTTATTGCAGATGTTGCCATCACCACTAAACATTTTGTTCATTAAAATCATGTCCCCTCTTAACCTCCTCACTTCCAGCGTGAACAAGTCTAAATCTAGTAACCTTGTCTCATTGCTTTGATCCTCCAGCCTTTTAATTATTTTAGTTGCCCTTCTCTGGACTCTTTCCAGGTCCAGGACATCCTTTCTGTGGACAGGTGACAAAAACTGAACCAGATACTGAAGATAAGGCCGAAAAAGTGATCTATAAAGTGGCAAAATGATTGCTTTGTCTCTGCAGTACATTCCCTTTTTAATGCATGACAGTACTCTGCTCGCTTTGTTTGCCCCAGCCTGGCATTGTAAACTATTATTCAATCTGTGGTCTACTATGACCCCCAAATATGTTTCCATTTCTGACTTCCCTAGTGGAGTACCCATTAATGTGTAACTTAACTTAATGATATATTACTTGTGACATTTCACAAGTAATTCCCTTTCTCTCAAGCTGACACCCTTTTTGGTCCTCATGGCATTTGCTGTAACTTGAAAACGATCTCCGCTCACAGAAAGATGCTGAAGAACACTATGCAGACACCTCCTGACACCACGTGGAATATTAGGCCTCAGTGGATCTCTCACCGTCTCGGCACGGCTGCTCATTCCAGGCTGCTGTATGGGTTACACTGCTCCCCGTGGAAGTGATCGTCCAAACAATACAGATTATAGCAGGCCAGGAGTTTGCTCTCTGTGTGTTCTACAGGTCGCTCACACTCCCCTAGACAGGTCTACACAGAGTCTGTGGCTCCTCTGTGTCAGCATCAGCCACACTCATCGATCTGTACACTGGCTGGTCTCTCCCAGACTGAGCGTGCTCAGAAACTCCTGCCCAAATCACCCCTCCTGCTGAAAGCACAGGCTCCTGCGAATTGTAGTATCACCAGTTTCTCACAGCACAGCTTTTCCCTGGCTCTGCACTGCAACTCCCACAAGTCTCTCTGTATCACAGGCTGCACAGTGTAATTTACCTATTTACAAGCAGAGTTAAAGCTGATTCGTAGCAACTCATATAGGGGCTACATGTACATAGTGCAATGTGCCGTGATTGGAACTTTGTTGGGCACCGCACACCAGCCATTGTGTGTTTTGCGCGGCGGCTGGTGTGAATTGGCCCTAAATGTTTACTTAATATTTCCCTGTAATAAAGTAGCTAGGTATTCATTAAAAAACATTTAGGGCCCATTACCACCTATGCATTGCAGCAACTCAAGATAAAATCCATTTTACTGCATGTTACCACAAGACATGTACAGCAAGGTGTTGTGGTGACATTCATTTTGAATGACACCCCAACACACTAATACAATACACCTGCACTGCAGCACACCACAATTCATGCCGCATATTAACATGTGTTCTTCAATGCACCACAGTGTAAAAATGTAAATAGACCTTTAACATATTATTTTAAATATGGGTGTAAGTAGTTACATTTAAATGCGTATCAGCCATTTTTAATCCCCTGTGGAGCAAAACCAAGACTAGGAGAGGGAGGGGTAGAACTGAGAGCCAAAAAGGTTGGCTGATCGGGAACATACTAAAAGGGGAAGAGAGCAGAATGAGCAGAGGGTGGAACTCATACGTTTGCTGCTGCTCTTTCAATGCCCAGAAAAAAGGCTGATGGCGGAGAGATGACCCAGCAATAATCCTTATCTGTAAGTAGTGTGATCCACCTAGCTTCAGTACTAGATGGACAGAAATACAAATCCTTTGGCAGGTAAAACAGTTCTCATATATGTATTTTATCTGGTTAGCTAGGCTTCAGCTTTAAAATCAATTCCTTACCCACACCCCTGTAACTCTTACACAACCATCTTGGGCTGAAATATGTTCATGTTCTGCAAAGTAGAGACTCTCAGAAAACCTCCCATGCCTTTTGCGTTGTATTTTCCACATTCTCATAAAAGCAGACTAAAAATGGAATGGAAAAGATTTCCAGACGTTTGCCATAGCCAAATATTATGTAAATGCATCCAGTGCCGCTTGTCCTGCATCCTGATTCACCTGATTAGACGTGGTGATCGGTGACACTGGATACCAAGTAATCGGATCTCCTTGGAATTTTCCTCACAAGCGTCAGGAGCTTGGGTACAGCTGTTTGTATGAAGAGAGTCTCTGTCAACACTGTGCCTGGATAAAAATTCTCCTGATAGCTGAGAGTGAAGGACAGAGTCATTCTGCCATCCTTCTTCTGACTACATGGCCTAATGAGGCTTTTATGCAATACCAGAAGAAAGAAGCATGCAGAACATGTGGTTTAACTGTAATTTGATCAAGGTTAGTTTTGGTTAGACTGTTTATTGGTTAGGACCTCTGTCAGGTGCCCCCGGTGAGTAGATTCACCCTCTCTATGTGTCTTGGTGACCACTGACTGCAGTGACGGGAAATCACACATCTTTCAGAGGTCACAGGAGCACGATATGAGAGGAAATCTTGGAGAAAAATTGAGAAACCTGTTCTGGTAACAACTATCTAAGAGGGGATATTCCCTCAGTTTGAAGAGATTTCCACTTACTGCTGAGTCTCAGGGACACAGACCACAAAAATAAAAACTAACCGTCTTAAAAAGGAACTCCAGGAATTCAGCTAGGGTTTACATCTACATCTTTCCAGGAATATATGCAGGTTCTATTTTTTCTGGTATCTCAGGGTTGTACATAACTGGTCTTTACATCGTCATTTCAAAAATTGTGAAAGTATAATTTCTAGGGTAGTAATATAGAGACGGTGGCCACAGTGGCTACAACAAACCACAAAGATACTGAAAGTGTTTGTCCTATCTTGTTTTGGGGAAGTGTATCTAAGGTTGGGATGTGAAAAGTGGGACTCACCTTCTGAGATAATAGCAACCTCCCTTCCACTATCTCTTGGACTAGGCAGCCTCAAATGGAGAGCTTGTGTAGGCAGTAAGAGAACCTTTAAACTGGTCCCAACTAGCTTTTTAAGCATTAAAGGGTGAGTAAACACATTTTCCTTGCCCTTTTGCCCCCACACCAATGGGAAGAACTAGCCCCCTTCCCCCAAAGCTCCATACTTACTGAAAGCGCACCCCCAAGGTCTGCAGCAATCTGTACTTACACCGGTTTCTTCATATTAATGGAGAGATGAGACAGAAATGCCCCAATAAGCATAGGTGCAAGACAGCAGAGGCACCCAGGTGGAAGAAATGAAATGATCATGTCTTCAATTTAGACATTTATTCCATGGTTACACACCCTGGGAGATGCTACCACTCTGCTTAAAGTGTCTCATCACACCCTCCTGAAGAAGGGTCCATCTCAGAGCCATGAAACGTGTTGAGACTGTGATAGTTATGTATGCGTTTCATGGAATAAAAGTCTAAATTGAAGAAAAATTATAATTTAATTTCTTCCACCTGGGCACCTCTGTTGTCTCGCACCTACGCTTTTTGGTGCATTTTTGTCTCATCTCTCCAGTACACATCGGGTCCCTCTAGCTTCCAAGCTTTGCATCATCCAAACTCCACCACGACGAGCATCGAGAGCAACCACCTTGCGCAGGGACGGAAATATTCCCAGCACACGCCTTTTTTGCACCTCAGGATGCCTGATATCCCCAAGGGGATTTCTCACAACCTAACTAGGTGAGTATCACACTCTCTCTTCTACATTAAAAACTACACTCAGTCTGGTCTCTCCTGGGACTTTTTGTCCTCAATTTTGTTGCTCCTACTATTTAAAGTTGTCTCTCTTTCAATCTTCATAATAATGTCCACACCTGAGCAGTAGAATCACATAGACTGGGATTAAAAATGAACCCTAGCACTTACTATACATTCAAGTCTCACTCTGTCCAGAGGTTGAACCTTATGCTCAGTATACGGTGTCTCTCTCTCTCCAGGTTTCTTCTCCAAATACAGAGAGACTTCTTGTGAAATCGCATGCTTCCTTTGAAAAGGTTAGCTACAGCACTGGCCGAAATAGTTTTTGTGAACCAATATCACCCTTTCCTAGCCACCTAGCTCTTCTAGTGCATCTCTCAGACTGCTCATTTTCTGTTCCTGAGGGTCATATGCTTTTTTATTAGCGTCCCAAAGCTGTGTTTTTCAATACAATATATTGCAGAGCTGGAAGAATGTTAGGATTCAGGTAACTAGTGTGAATTAGAAATACAAAAGCTGGTAACTAGCTCAGCGACTAAAAGTGGCAATACATGCATTATACATTTTATGAATCCAAACTGTCATGACTGAGAATTTCCTCACAACCAATAATCAAATGCATACACACTCACCCACCCACCAACTCATGTATATGTAATGTGCTCTCCAGAACTCTGTTCTTTAACTTAAGGTTTGCATGTGTATGTTTAACCTTTGTTTTTGTGGACCTTTTTGTAGGACAAGCGGGCCTGGCAGTGAACATAAAGCGCTGAAGTTGTCCCAGGGGTATTATACCTTCGTGTTGCCAAAAAATCCCCGACCAATCCTCAGATCTTCACCAAAATGGAGCGTTCAACTCAGGAGCTGTTCCTCAACTTCATGATTGTCCTGATCACTGTGCTGCTCATGTGGGTTCTTGTGAAATCTTATCAAAGCTAAGAGACTACTATGGAGTAAAACAACAGTCATTGTTTGTACTTAACTATGGGAAATTCCACAGGGACTTACTGAACACCCCCACATCAATAATGTTGTCTGCTCTCTGCCACCAAGATCCTAGTTTCCACCACCCAGTTAGGCCATTACCACTAGTACATATCTACCTGACCCTGAACCTGGAAGCCATATTGTGCTGCCAACCTTCCCAGTCCCAGAGCGAGAACACGCTACACTATGATTGATTAGCTGACCGTGATAAGACATGAGCGAGTGAGATTTAAACACAGAAGATATGTTTACTCTGGCGGAGGAAGCCGAGGGAAAAATGTCAAACGCATGTCTCTAGAAATAAGAACTGGGAATGTTTTGATTATAAGTTCAACGGAATATTTCAGCTCCATCTTTTCCATCACAATAAAAGTCTTTCCCACCAAACGTGAATGTTTTAGATCACTTTGTGCTTTCTTGGCTTTTTACTGCAAGTGTTTTTCTACTCATCTTGGATTTATACTGTCTTCTTACCTGTCTCTTCATAGTTTAAAGAGGGTGGTAATTCCTGCATGATTGGGGTTTTCATGATACAACAATTTCTACTTTAGCCCCCTTATTTTTTCACTGTGTTTCAGAACGCTGATAGATAGGTGACTTAAAGAGTATCTAAACCCAAAAACAAAAATATAATATATTGCAGCTTACAAATCCTTGAATGTGGTGGCTGCATTCGTTTTCTTTTTTTTAGGCTTTGTTACCTTTATTTTCACCTGTCAGTAGGTTTGTTATTTTTCAGTTCACAAACTGTTCAGGTTTCAGACCAAGCTGTTCAGCAAAAGTTAAATAGCTAGTGGGTTGAGACAAACCACTGAACACTGACAAGGGGGCTTACAATCAGTGGCGTCACTAGCGGGGTACGTGGGGTGTGGCTCGCACCCGGGTGACACCAGTGGAGGGGTGACATCAAAATGACTGACAGTTATTTTGGTCTCACCCACTCTGAAAAGTTGGGCACTCGGTCCTGGACTGAGAGCCCAACAGTTGCACGAGAGTGGAGGGGACCCGGCAGCATACCTTATCCCACTGGGTGAACGTCCCCTCCTCTCTCTGCCAGTGTCCATTTCCAAGATGGCCACCGGCAGGTATCACCAAGATGGCCGCCCATTCGGAAGACTTCATCGCGCACATGCGTGACATTATTGCGCTCATGCATGATGACACTACGCACATGCGCAATGAAGTTGCGCACGTGCACGATGATGTGACGGTGGGGTGTCACCCGGTACCTGCCTTGGGACGCCCATGCTTACAATGGTCAGCTTTTACTCACTTATGTAAAACCTTATTCCCAAAAGGAAATTATATGTTTATGTAACTGCTTAGAAATTATTAGCTGGAGTTGAGCTATAAATTGTTAATCACTTTTGAGAAGATAAGTAAAACTGCTTTTTATATTTCCCCTACAGCAGGGGTAGATAAACTCTGGCCCTCCAGCTGTGACCTGTAGTTTACCTACCCCTGCCTTAGACCAAAACGAACATTTAACCCTTGCATTGTGAGCGGAGTTCCGCTGCAATAGTAAGTTTTGAGTTTACCTGGACTTCAGCCTTAAAGGAGAACTATGGGGTAAGTGTTTTACCCCATAGTTCTCCTAAGGGTCACGGGAGGACATAAACCAGCTTCCTCCCGTGACCCAAAGCTCAGTATACCGCGAGCGGTATACTGAGACGCCGCAGCCGGGATGGATCCCGACAATACTGTCTGGATCCACCCAGCTGCATGAGTGACAGCTGGCTTTGCCTATCTAGAGGCAGAGCCAGCTGTACCCGCCCCCTCCCCTGATCGTTCCGCCAGTCAGCACTGGAGGATTGGGGAGGAGAGGGGGGGGAATCCCTGCAGGGAGCCGTGAGTGACAGTCACGGCTCTCTGCAGAGAGATGATCGAGAAGTGAGCGAGCGACGGTATGTGTTTGCTCACTTCCCGATCTATTGAGCTGACCTGTGACAGTCTCATTGTCACAGGTCGGCTCGAACTATGAGGATGAGTGGAAATCGCTCACCTCATAGTTCTCCTTTAAGGGCAGGATGATGTGCATAAGCAGCCATTAACGTAACAGATCAGGATTATCTTTTGGAATATAGGACAACTTGCAATTATGAAAGGAGGAAGGCAAAGTCAGTGAATGAGTGGAATCAAGGGAGATTGGTACATCATGCACGAAGACCAGATACAAAAATTGATAAAGGAAATAAATGTCAGTTTCTGCATTACTGGATGCCTAAACCTGAGCTGTCATGAAATCTTGTGTTGTCCTCTAGTGGTGAAAATGAACATTATGTACAATCACCAAGGTAGGACTTCAATACAGGGGGCATAGTTACCGATTTACTTATCATTCACCATTTCTTTGTTCCAAATGGATGTGATTTTGAAATATATATATTTTTTAAAGCAGACCACTACAGAGAAGAGGGAGAAACATTGGACAGACCGGTCTAAGAAGAAGCCGACTCACAGCTTCCAATGAGAATAACTTTGTTCTTTTTTTACCTAGACACAAACAAGCACTTAACCCTTGCAATGCATCCCATTGCAAGTGTTAATAATGATTTTGCCCAGAGTTCTGATTTAAAGCAGAACTCCAGTAAAAAATAAAAAATACATTGTTCATTAACCCCTTCGTGACTGACGACGTACAGTGTACGTCGCCAGCATCGGGGCTGTTTAAACAGACTCCCGGCGACTTTTGCCGCCGGGAGTCTGTTTAAACTTGTAGAGCCGACTGTCGGCTTTACAACAGAAGCGATCCTGGCGACTTACCTGTCGCCAGATCGCTTCTGCGTCCCGAAGAAGGGGCCAGGGTACTGCAGTTTTTCGCCGTTTCACGGTCGCACGCAATTTGTAAACTGGGCATGTTGGGTATCGTTTTACTCGTTGTAACCTCATCTTTTATATTTCATTAAAAAAATGGGTAATTTGTTGTGTTTTGGGGCATTTAATTAAATTTGTCACTAAATTTTGGGGTTTAATAAGGAGTTGCGCTAATATTGCGCAACATAAAAATTTTCAACTACCACCATTTTATTCTATAGGGTCTTGGCATTCAGAAAATATATAATGTTGGGGGGTTTTATGTCATTTTCAGGCCTAAAATGTGGAATATAACATGGGTGCAAAAAATGAAAAAAGGGCCTCAGTCATGAAGGCGTTAAAAGTAAAAATAAAAAGCATCTTTTACTATAATATTTACATTGATCTGTTTCCCACACCCTCCTTTCCTTACCAATACTAGATGTCCTCAGTGTTCCAGGCTGAATGTTGGCCAGTGTAATTTAATACACTTCCTCTGTGTCCAGTGTTTTCTAAGTGCGAGGAGGTTTGAAAAGAAAAAAATAAACTTCATCCTCACCGAGGAGACTTGAGGGGGTTTGGTCCCGTGCTTTCTCCTCCCTCCTTCTGAGTTTGGTGGGGTCTTAAACATACCGTCAGCTATGAGTTGTGAACAATGTGTTGCATGACCTTATCTTGGTGTATTGGCACCTATTTGGTTTTTCGGTTTGTATTTGTAAAATTTTATTCTAAAGTATACTTCTGCTATAAAGAGCCATAGTATAAAAGGAATACTAGTTTAACCCCAGTTCACACTTTTCTGTGTGCCCATTGATTTCAGTGGGCTGCCCTATGCATGACAATCACACCACTGAGGTCCCTTCACCTTTTTTCAAAACAAGTCACACCAAAATACATAGTGGGGTGCCATTAACAATGAATGGCTCTGCAGTGCATCATACATTTTGGCCCATCTTCGTGTACATTGCCACTATGCATAGACATGATCGGGGGCTTAGAGAATAGCACAGATGAGGCTATTCAGTCTAAAGGTAATAGCAGATATCTCATGGTGTCTGATCTTTGGTAGGACTTTTACTTTTGAACCCAAACTCCAGCTTTAAATGCCTACCTGCCCCCAAGGTCCTGTTCCCCCACAGACTTAAACAACAAAATCTACATACATACCTTAATTCCAAGAAAATTATATACGGCCATGTGGTGAGCAGGGTCTTCCTCTTCAGGCTCCTCTTTTTCTTTGGGGATGAGCGATTTTCTTTGCTGAAAAGAATAATGCTCCTGTTGTGACGTGATTGTCTTCAGCATTCTCCTCTGAGCCCAACTTGTATGATGGTGTTTCCATTGCAACCTGGGCATCATTTAACCCAACAGAGGACCAGTGGTGCAGGACAGCATTGATAGTCTATGTCCTGGGGAGAATATGTGATGCAATAGGTGATAGGGAATTAGGATTTGATTTATCAATAAAAGTTGAAGTTGGGACTAGTGGAGTACAGGTTCACTAAAGGCTAAATTCACATTAGTAAAAGGACATCCAGTTTTTGAGTCACTCGGCAGGAGCTTTATCTGCATCGTGAACAGAGAGAGTAATCAATTTAGGATCAATAGTCCCCACATTGTTAGGGTCAGCATATGTGAAGCTATACCCAATAAACACAAAAGTATGACTCAGTACACTCTATCCAACCTGGGGTACTCTTGGTTGGAGCTTAAAGTGGCCCCTTTTACTGTCCATGCATTCATTTACAGAGTACCAAAATAATTAATTGCAACTAAACCTGTTTAGAATTTAAATAGTTATTTCCATCCAGGCCGTGGGTCTTGGAAACCAATTGTTTATAACTGAAGAAAGAAATAACAATATTGTGGAAATGTTATTATACCAGCATCAGAACATTCCACCAATATTCATCATTCACTATGTGTGTGCAAATATTATCCTCCCTGCAGAATAATCTTAATGTTTGCTCTCCGCTGTGTGAACTTATCTCCCTGCAGAAACATTCTACATGCGGCTTGATGTGCTTTTTACTTTTAATTTGCTACATTACAACTGGTAATTACCATCCACATATGCTGCTGTAAGCTGCCGCATCAGTACTTGCTTATTCCACCACTAAGTAAATGATCGGTGTAATGAGCGCACAAGTTTGCTGCCTCAGAATTAGCCTTCCATGTCTAGCCATGTAATTAAGGGCTTTGGCAACAAACACAAAGGGATTTTGTATTAATGAAAGGGACGAAATTAAAGAATTATGTTTTATCCAGAGACAAATCCTCTCAGCATGATAGTGAGTTGGAGCCCTGATGACTATAAATACTCTTCTTATTGTGCAGGTGAATTAGGAGAAGGGTTGCAAAAGAGCAATGTGTAAAGTGCTGAAGTCCTTAGCAACCAGCTAAATTCATCTCTCAATATTCTGACAACGGGAAACAGCCCTTTTTCTCCCTTCCAGCTCCTTCCTTCCCCACTCCCTTCCTTATCTCCAGTTTTCCTTCCTTCTTTTTACTTTCTTCTCTCACTTCCTTATTCTTTCCTTGCCCACTTTCTTCTCTCAATTTTTTCTTCGTTCTCTCTAGTT